TTCAACTTGTTGTAAAATCTCCAAAACTCAACCAGATTGCTCAATTTTTTTTAGAATGCAGCTAGAACTGTCAGCTGTCAAATGACATAGCAATAACATAGATGCAAATGACTCTAGTACTTGCAAAAGTGAACTAGCGCCATCTGTTGCAAACATGCGTCATGACTTTTCCGACAACCCAATACATTAGTGCCTATTTTCGCTAACCCAAAGAAATCCAAAGAGGACTTTCACTTTTACAAAGAAAGGCAAAAAGTGAAAACAGTGTTCAACATTTGCAGCAGCACCTCAGTAGTGAGAGTGGCCCCACCAAGTTCCTTTTTGGGAACCACACTCAGCCTCTCAGCATCAAGCTGCCATAGCTTTGAACTGTTTGTGAGCATCTGTGCTTCATCTTGGTTTATTTTGTGCATCTGTTAGCAAGCTGTGTCCTAAGGTATTAGAAAAGCCCAAGAGAGCTTGTAAGGGTGTTGCACTTGGTGTAAAACTGGACATAATTAAGCATATTTGGTAGGTTATGTTTGGGAGTCTGGGAATGCTCAAAAAACTTTTCCATATGAATTCATAGTAGCAATTGCTCCTTCACTTTATGCCATTTCAGCTTGTGAAAGGTTTTGTAGGAACGCTCTACTTTTGGATAGCAGGGGAGACCTGTATCAATACCAGGAGCTAGTATCTGTGAACAATTTGTGATATCGTGTCTTTTACTGACAGTAGAACTATCAAAGCAACAGTAGTTTCACTTTCCTAACCAAACTTTATGTTATTCACCATGAAGCACGTCATTCTTTCTTAAGTTTCAGTATTATTTGACATAAAGCATATTGGAGGCAAATAAGAGAATGGACAATCCTAAGACACCGAATGAATGCCAAGTCACTGATCTCACTACAAAAGCACATCTGTCATCCACAAACACACACTAACTGGGTGAAATGACAGCTAGCTTTAGAGGGTCTCACTGAATCACAGTATATCTTTATGGCTTATAAACCACCCACCAACACACAGTCTATTCCCCCCAGTGTCCTGGGAGTCTCAAAAATTTCTCCCACACAGTGAATTCTTCTAAAAACTATTTAACTTTCAGGGGAAACCTCAAAGACAAGACTAGTCACGTTGACAGCAGAGAAATGTTACCATACATAGGAAATGCCAAAGTGATAAAGTCCCTTTCATTAAATGGTTCACTGCTCTTTAAAAGGAAGACATTAGGGTGTGTAGCTGACTGTATAAATATTAGCAAGTTTCCAACATCTTTAAGAAGAGCAAATTATTTGAGAAAATAATGTGTTAAAAAAACAGAGACACAAGCAATCACAGAATTTTCCTTTACTAGGGTGTTTTCTGCTTGCAGGGGCAGTTAAATAGCCTGCAGTATGGGAAAAGAGCCCCCGATTCTGGTGTCTAGAGCCTGTGAAGCCAGGCCCCTTCTGGGGTACTGATGGTGAGAAGATACTGCGTTATTGAGAGAGAGTTCAGGAAGCAGGAGTCAACAACCATTCTGAACATTTCAAGAGAAAGAAAAAAGAGCTGAAGTTTTAAATCAGATCAAGAAATACCGACTTTTTAAAGTAATATTTTAAAGTGATTCAAAATGCTAGAAGTCCAGGCATCCTCCCCGACCTGTCTAGCTCTGCAGTTTTTCCAGCAGCCCAAGAAATCAACGTTACAAATCAAGACATTAGCTGCATAGTTAAAGAGAACCACCTGGGCTCCCACCTTTATTGAATTGTGAGTAATAAAATAGGATTTATTCCAGATGTTATTAAATTTAAAAAAACTTGGACCATTTCACATTCTCAAACCCAGCATCAACCTAATCAGGTAAGCAAACTCCCCAGCCTGATTGAACTAAATGATTTCTAGAATCACTACTGCAAACACACTGGGGTAAAGAATTTTCTGGAATCAAATTCCTCCCCATGGTTCTAGATCACTCAGCAACCTACCAGGGCACATTTGTCCGGGTTCAGACAGGCTGCCGGCACACATGCAGGTGTAGTTTCCCTCTGTATTTGTACAGGTGGCATTTTCCCCACAGGTGTGCGTGTCCAGTTGGCATTCATCAATATCTGCCAGAAAAAAAGGGGGGTAGGGAAGAGAAAAATGGGGATGTAGAGGAGGAAACAGGGTTGTACAATCAGAAAACCCAACATCCTAGAAGGGGAGCTCCGTCAGCTTTTGTCATGCTGTATGTTCTCAGAGCTCTACACATTTTTAGACACAAAAGTTTTATTATGAGCACTGGTGAGAGAGATGAAATGGGTCCCATGGCTGCATGCCCAGTCAGGTAAACTCCTGACATAAAGCTAGGAATTTTCTTATGGCTTAAAAGCAAAGAAAACTTCGCAACACAAGCAGCTCAATGGCAAAGCTGGAGATTGGTAAACTATCTCTAGGCAAACATTTAGAAGTTCAGATCATAACAAATAAAACATTTTTGCCTTTTTTAACATAAACATAAACTAAGTCATCCCTTTCTTTCCTAACTACCCTCCTTTTTCTTCCTCAGCACCACGCTAAGAGTTAGGTCCCTCCTCTTCAATTTTACATTACGATAAGATCAGCCTTACTACATTCTCTGCCTCCCACTTGCGTCCACTCCACTCCTGAACACCAGTGCCAGATGAATCTTCCTGAGCCACGTTGCCCATCACTGCCCTACGTGACTCCACTGCTGCCAGTGGCTCTCTGTTGCCTCCGGCTGTGCTGCCCAGTATAGTAACCACTACCCTATGTGAGTACTGAGCACCTGAACCACAGTGAGTCCACTCTGAGGCATGCTCTAAGTGTAAAATCCACACCAGATTTTTATATATTAAAATGTTAATATTTGGGGTATATTGGAATAAATAAAATATTATTAAAATTAATCTCACCTGTTTCCTTTTATTTGTTCAACTGTGGCTACTGGAAAATTTAAAATTACATATGGGACTGACATATATTTCTATTTGACAGTGGTGTTCTAGAGAAGTAAAACCCCGATGACTGACCCTCAGATTTCAGTCTTCCACAAATGTAATCCAACCCACCTGTTATGGACTGAATTGTATCCCATAAAATTCTTATTTTGAATCCCTAACTCGCAATATGGCTATATTTGGAGAAAGGGCCTCTAAGGAAGTAATTAAAGTTAAAGCAAGTCAGAAGAGTGGGGTCCTCATCCAATAAGATTGGTGTCATTATAAGAGAGAGAGAGA